CAACCACACGTCGATTTAGATTTTTCTTCTTTCATCATCTTCGAACCACATGTTGATTTTTAACCTTTTTTCATTTATCAGATTTGAACCACACGTTGACTTTTGATTATTTTTTTTAAAAAGTAAATATATAATTTAAATAAATATCTTTATTCTCTAGCAAATTAAACTATTAAACAAAATAAGTGTCGAATTCTGATCTCATATTTCGTTATCAACTTATATGTCATTTAATAAAGTTTTAACATGGATGTTTAATATTTTATTGGAGGACAGCCGAGCTTTTGCTACCTACAAATAGACATTCCATTATTGAATTTGATTCATTTATCAATTTCAGTTTAATAGTATAATTAGAAACAACATTAGAAATTACCGAACAGTTCAAAAAATGGAAGCAGCAGGCAATGAAAAATCTACGAGTCCTTCCATATGCAAGCCAAGGCCACATAAACCCCCTTCTGCATTTTGCAAAAACATGTCACCGCAAAAGTCGTCAAAGCCACATTCGCCACCACATTCTACACTGTCAAATCCATCCGCGCCACCAATGTGGTGGTGGAGCCTATCCCCGACAGCTTCGACAATGGTGGCCTTGCCGAAGCAAAGAAAGAAGATACCTACAACAACTCATTCGGAGAAAATGGATCGAGAATTTTATCACAAATCATTGACAAGTACTTGTTGATAATATTTTGAGAATTGATATGCTAATCAACAAATTTAATTTCATTGAGTTCCATCAATTAATTAATTGACGTACCATGTTAGTCCTCAGTTGATCATTTCTTATAATACGGTACTCAATTTTTTTGTAAACTTTGAACCTTCCAACCATATAATTCGAAAACTAGATGTCTCTAATGACTATTCCATGTTTAAGTTGACAACTTTTTCAAGGTTTTATTGAACTCAGCCACAATGTTAAATGGTCCTGAATTGTTTCGTTAGATCGAATCAGAATTTTAATTTAAAGAAACATCAACTTGAGTTTCAAACACGAATGACAAAGAGAGCTAGCCGAGTTAAAACAATTTTGTATGAATAATTGATGACGCCATTGGTGCTATCGTCACTCTCTTTACGCCATCAGTGTAGTCATCTTGATGTGAACATTGTATGGTCAAATTCAGACCTTTGTATTCATTTTCAACCTGTCTCAGTTAAATCGGGTAATGAGTGCAAAACGTTTTTTTTTCTTTTGCACTTATTAGACAAATTATTCTTATCGTTTTAACCTTTGCATTTGCACCCTCATTTCAACATTTTCTTGTGAATTGGTCATTTCCACCTCATTATGTCAATTCCTTCCTCAAATATGGGTAATTTGTATAAAATATCTCTATCTTTTACCTTTATTGCATAAATCGTTTCTATCATTTCAATTTTAGCTTTCAGACCCTCAAATCGATCATTATTTGCGCGCACTCTATTTTTTCTACTACATATTGGAGAATAACTAAATTTTCTTTCTCTTTAAATAAATTAAAAAATAAAAGAAATAATTGCAGTCAAAGTTCTAAATTTTTCAAATAGTGCAAATGAGTACCACTTAAAATATTTCAAAACATATTAAGCCCTTGTTTGATCTCCATTATTTCAAAAATATTTTTTTTTCTCTTTTTTCCAACCACACATTCCTCAATAAAATAATATTACATATAAATTTTTTTTAAAAAAATCTTATTTTCAACCACACATTATCCATCAATCTACTATTCTAAAATTTATTCTTAAGAAAAAAATGAGGTTCAAACATGCTCTAACAAAAAAAAAAAAAAAAAAAAAAAAAAAAAAAAAAAAAAAAAAAAAAAAAAAACGACAAAAAAAAAAAAAAAAAATAATT